TAGGGACACGACTGCACAGTAACACTGGTTACTACACAGTCATTTAGCACTTGGTTATGCAAGTACTAAATGGCTGCGCAGTAATAAATACCAGTCAGCATCTCGTGGAGACGCAGTAAGAAAAATAGCACTTGTTTATTTTAAATCTTCTCCCGTGAATTTCAGTGTGCGCGCCCTGTTCTTATAGTCTGGAACCTGATGAGTAACCGTTCCCTAATAACTTCTGTGCTTAAAGGGAGATGCATAATTGAACCCCTTGCTGAATTGGGACTCCGATTTCCACTTATTGTCATTAAATTGTCTACACTTATTTTCATTATTATGAAATCATCATACAAGTTGTGTTTAACATTCTGCTCAAAGTGATGAGCCTTCAGAGCATAGTAACTTAAATTGAAATATATTGGGTAAAGATTAAATGGTTGTACTTCATTCAGTATCTATGTCTGTATATGCATCTCTGCACACACACGTGGAATAAATCATATATTTGTAAACATCTAGCTATGAAAGACATAGCTCTGTGGATTTCTTTTGCTGTCTATCCCTCTCTATCAGCCAGAAGAGACCAGCTAATATGACCTGAAAAACACAGGCCATAGAGTTCAATGCAACAATTCCTGTTTCTACCCCACATGTTTCTGGTTGGATTCAAACATATCTTGTATAAAGAGTTCAAAAAGCAATTTAAAAGCTATTTAAAGAAAAAAATACTAATGGTGAGGACACACATGCAAATAAATGAATCCAAGTGAGAAGAGAAGTGAAATGGCAGGTTTGGAAACCATTTACCTAAGTCACGATAGCACAAATATGTGGTTCATAAAGCTGCTTATTTATAATTATATAAATCTTCATGTTCAAAACTCCCTTAGCTTTTGGCCTATTTTATATTTATGTTAAATATAGTCACAAAACAACGCTCCAGTGCCCCCTGTAAGAATATTTGTAGGGAGAAAGAAGAGATACTGTGCATTTGAATATTCACCCATAGAATGGTGGTTTGTATTTTGTGGTCTTTAGCCAGCCATTTTATCTTCCTGTGTCTCAGCTTCTTTACTTGTAATACAGGGATAATAATAATTGCCTACCATGTTGGGGCCATAAAAATTCATAATTCATTACAATATTTCAAGTGCCTTGGGATCATCAAGTTGAAGGCAAGACAGAAGTGCAAAATTGTAACCTGCTGTCTTTTCATAAAAATATTCTTTACTAAGAATGCTACTGATGACACATTATTCAACACTTTCAAGTCTTAAAATTACAAGTTATTTTCTTCCAGAAATCATCTCCAGGTCTTATTTTGGGTTTTCCATGCAGTAAAATTCTTCTAAATGTCACTTACTTTTTTGTCTTTGTTGTATTTGTGGAAAATCTCTTGTGCTCTTTCTTCACCACCATCGGTAAACAACATAATAATCTTATTGCAGTTAGCTCTAGATGCACTGTACTGTAAGAGAGACAAAGACAAGCATTTTGTTTAGTTCAGGCTATAAAAATAAAAGGTGCAACAGTGATATAGTTCTTAGGAACCCTGTTTTTTGAGGGTAGGGGTCACTCATCCTTTTATCTCATGCATCCTTAAGAATATTACTAAAATAGTACGAGAGAAGTGCTGCATCCCCCAGCAAGGTCAATGACGAAGCTTCTATGGACTTCAGTGGAGGTGAAGGTGGAATTACTGACTCTACTGATGTGCTTTTTCTAACTCGCTGCAGTTGAGCCCAGATACTTTGCAGGGTTAAGTTTCTTACCTTCCTGCAAATATGAGTTTTTGTTAACTAGATGGAAGTATACAGAACGGGGACAACTGGCTGTGCAGGACCACTGAGGTGCTCCAGATGTTTGTGGCAACTTTTATTTCAGCAAGTGCCACTTCCCCAATCAATTGCTGAGCTTCACCTGGGTGCAGAAACACCACCCTTTGAAGCACAATTCAGCAAACGGCCGAGCAGCTTGTCTTCACTTTGACAGCCCACTGCGACCTAAACAGGTTGCAAATTGCTTGGACAAGGTATGCTCTGGTTTCTAATGCATCTTGCCATCCATTCCTGAGCCTTTTGTGCAATCAATGCTTAAAATACAACAAAATCGAAATCCAACTTTAGATCCAACCGTTCTGGTAATCAGGTATATCCCCCGCAACCAGTGTAAGTGAGTTGTGTGCACTGCCCTAATTTGGGATGAAGATAAGGTGCATATTTCTTACGACAAAACATGTTGATCACTCCCTGGCACAAATGCTGTTCATGAGACTGCCTTGTATGAGAATCCAGAAGTGGAGGATCCGCATTAGTAATTCATAAACCAGAACATTTTTGCTCTGCCTGTCATTTTTACTTAACTGTACTCCTTCCTTCCCCCTCAGCTGGGGAAGTTTTGGAGAACATTTCTAGAAGCAGCCACTGATTTTGGATGCTTCAGGTTCTGGACCCTCAATATGAGACTCCTTCACTGTTTCAATCTGGGCACTGAAAACACTCAGACAATCAAAGCCAAAGGCTCTTCTGTATATCTGGATCTTAGCAAATTTAGGATCTACTAAATCAGGGGTTGGCAACATTTTTGGGCAGAATGCCAAAAATACCTACAAACCTCAACTTGTAAGGTGTTGGTGTGTCAGAGGTGGACAGCGGGAGAACAAGGGGCCCGATCCTTGTTGTGGCAGTGCAGCCCAGCCCAGCCGCTTTCCGGCTGTCCACTCCAAGGTGAATGTGCACCCACTTCCAGCAACGAGCAGGGACAAGGCACTGCAGATCCTGGTGTAGCTGCTTGCAGCCTCCCAGCTGCCTTCTGCAGCTGGCCTGGGCTCTGGGCAGGCCCCTGCTCCCCACCACAGAGCTCAGGCTGCTCGCAGGAGGCAGCAAGGAGGCTGCACGCAGGTGTAGCAGGATTCACAGAGCCCTGGCCCGGCTTGTTGCTAGCAGCAGATGCACATGCGCCTCCAGGTGGATGTCAGGGAAGAGTCTGGGGCTGTACTGGATCAGGCCCATCACAGCTCCCCTGCCATCCACCCCGAGGTGCGCATGCCAAGCAAAATGTTTTTGCATGCCACACTCTGGCATACATACTGGGGGTTGCCTACCCCTGTGCTAAACCTTAAGCATCCAGTGAACCTCCCATCTCAGTCTCAGGCCCTAGCAACTCAGGTGCAAATACCCAGATTCATTGTGTTAAAAATATGCAAAATCATCTTGGCCTACTTATTTTCTCATTTCATCTCCCCTCAGAAAATAGCTAGCCTTTACAATGTGTTTCATAAGGAGAGTATGCCAGAGCTCATACTTGGCTTCATACAGGAATAAGATTTCTGACAACAGGACTGTATCAGAGAGCAACACCAAATGGCCTGACTACTCCCCAATTTACCAGACAAAGGAACTAGCTAATCCATGAAAAAAGTGAAGTAACTTTCTCCACAAGAAGATCAAGGGAAAGTGGAAGAAAATTTGAACCCTTTGGCCTCATCCCAATGTGCAGGCACATGCAGTTTGTGGCACCACAAACTGTGTGCGTGAAATGTAAAATATGACCTGTGCTGCAAATTTGCAGCACAGGGGCAAAATTTGCTACCAGGATTTCCTGGTAGCAAAATAAGTAAATAAATAAACACCCAGGAAAAAAAGCGGTGCAGAGCATGTGAAAATACCATGCACCAGACAGAACATATAGAGCCTTGGTCCTCCAGTGAGATGCTCTGGCTGCTGGCCAGCGTGTCTCTACTGCTTCATTTGTGCCCCGCTGCTCTAGCATGCTGGGAAACGGGAGGAGCTAGGCAAGGGCAGTTTGCCCAAAGTGGGACAATGTGTCTTACAACAAAATACTGACAAGTGCAGGGTGCTGCACTTGGGCACTAGTAACCAGCAGCACACTTAAAAGATGAGAAACTCCCTTCTTGAGAGCATGGAGGCAGAAAGGGATCTTGGAGTCATTATTGACTCCAAGATGAACATGGGCCGACAATGAGAGTCACGGTCGGCAGGGCTAACCGGACCTTATCATGCACCCACAGATGCATCTCAAGTAGGGCCAAGGAGGTGATCCTCCCCCTCTACGTGACACTGGTCAGGCCACAGCTGGAGTACTGTGTCCAGTTCTGGGCGCCCCACTTCAAGAGGGATGTGGACAACGTTGAATGGGTCCGGAGGTGGGCCACCCGCATGATCCAGGGTCAGCAGGGAAGGCCCTACAATGAGAGGCTATGGGACCTGAACCTGTTCAGCCTTCACAAGAGAAGGCTGAGGGGGGACCTGGTGACCATCTATAAACTCACTAGGGGGGACCAGAAGGGTTTGGGGGAGACCTTGTTTCCCCTAGCGCCCCCGGGCTAACAAGGAATAACGGCCACAAGTTGTTAGAGAGTAGGTTTAGATTAGACATCCGTAAGAACTACTTCACAGTTAGGGTGGCTAGGATCTCGAACCAACTTCCAAGGGAAGTGGTGCTGGCTCCTACCCTGGGGGTCTTTAAGAAGAGGCTTGATGCCTAACTGGCCGGGGGCATTTGAGCCCAGTTTTCCTCCTGCCCAGGCAGGGGGTTGGACTTGAAGATCTACAAGGTCCCTTCCAACCCTACTTCTATGATTCTATGAAAATGCACGTGCAGGGGCGTGTGCTGAGGCACAAAGTAACAGTGCAAATTTGTGCCACTGTAAGCACACGCCCCTGCTCATCTGGACACAGCCTTTGAGTCACAATTTCTCTTCTGGCCTGCTCCTAGGTACTGTGGCTCTGGGTCTGCCTGTACTCAGAAAATACTGTCAGGATAAAACCTGGCCCTCAAAAGTAATTTGATACCCTATCAGTCCAGAGTCCTTTCATCAAATTCCAGTATTAATAAAACAAAACAAATAAAGAAAAAAACAATTAAAAAATGTTCCCAAAACAAAAACAAATATTCTTTCCCATAGCTATTTTTAGTTCCTAAAATAAGTTGTTTACAGATTTTTTTTACATCACTGGCTCAACTGATCAATAAGCACCTCTAACTCAGGGAAAAACCGGGCCCAAATTTTCTTCCCAGTAATGACAAGAAAAGAAATTTTAACTCAGCACATTAAATCCACTCCTCTAACAAGGTAAGTTCCATTTGGAAATAATCAACACATCTCTCTCTCTCTTTTTTTTTTTTTGCTTATGAAATGCCACATACAACAGTATGTATTGCTTCAGGTTTCTATCTTGTGATATTAAAAATGCAATGAATCCAGAATGAGAACGGAGAAACTCAGAAAAGCAGAATTAAGTACTTTGCAAATATTGAAAATCCCCAACTTAGTGTTTTATTATACATCCTGGAGTATCAGAGCGCCACAGCAATACTTGGCTCAGCAGTCAAATCTTTGCATGAGTTGTCCTATTAATTTAGAAGGACAAATGACAAACAGGTATTGCCATATTTTGTAATTTTTCCAAAGGATCAAAATCTGTACATGCATACTTAGTGTTTTTTTTAAGACACTATTGTGTGTCCCACTCACATCCAAAGAGTGCCAAGGGCTTTTCTGTCCCTTTGCAAAGAGCATAAAGTAGGGCTATTAAC